AGCCCTGTGCAAGGACACTTCCGCCTCCCGGGTTGGGGGGGGGGGAGAAGTCATGTCGCCAAGTGTCTTTTTAAAGAAGTCTTCGAGACCAGAATGGGTGGGGTGTGTGAGTTGAGACAACGTAGCGAAGACAGGTTTTGTGTGAGTCAAAAAGTGCATGAATGCCTCTCTCCCAGTTTTGGTGTGCATATGCGAGAGACAGATACGTTGGTGTATTAAATTACTTAGATTATGTCCGGGCAGAAGGGTGGCCTTACAATGGCATTTATTGTAGTTTTGTTTCAGTTTTTCTGTGTGTTAGTCCGAAGCTTTTACACTTTTCTTCATAGAATTGTTAACTTTGGGTTCCCCCCCAACCACATTTTACTCTCTTCCCCCTATATAACAAAAAGAGGGGGGAACTTCTGTCAGATTTCTTGGTGTAAATTTTGTTCTCCTTCCTACTCTGCTGTTTGGTGAAATTTAAAAGATTGGGAGAAAGTATTGTCGATTTCAGATTTACTGGGAAAGCTTTAACCATCTATATCCTGCTGCTGTTGCTACTCTTCCCCAAGTTCCCCTTAGGTGACAGTGGTTGTTTCTCAAAAAGGTGTGTATGAGCTCCTGTGCTGGTATACACAGTATGACTTCAGTTTTCAAAAATAAGAAACTGGCAAGGCTTTCCTCCAGCCTTGTCAGTCTCACTGGTGTGGCCAAGGAATGCTGAAGGAAACAGTTGTGAATGGACGTCTGTGGGATTGCGTTAGAATGTAGTCATGGGGTAATAGAAGCCAGCTTCCTGGTAGGTAGGTAGGTAAGGGAATGTCTTGCTGTACTAGTTGAAGGGTGTAGTTAAAAATCAGGAAAGGTACTGAGACAGTGGCAATCTGCATCAAGGTTCTCAGGTGGTAATCAAAGCACTTTAAACTACACATGTGGTTTGGACCAGAGACCATTTTCAAGATGTGACACTACAGTGCCTTTGAATGCTTCTCTAACTATTTTTGTTATGTGTATATAATATAATGTGGCATAGACAACAGAAGAGAAATTGGATGGACTTTCAAAAATCTAGATAATGGAAGTCTAACATTTGCCTTATGGACAAGTTCTTTAACAAGTTAAACTTAATACATATCAGTATTTATTGGGCTATAAATAAAGAATATCTTGATTTGTAATTCAGTAAGACAAGCAGAGTATAAGTAGAATTTGCCAGCTCACTAAACTATCTTGATTAACTTGCCCATATAGATACAAAAAATATGAGCATGGGCCCATCATGATAAACAACAAAACAATATCTCCTAGCTATTTCTGCTATTTAACAAGTAAACAATGATTTATAATAACATTAATTCTGTAATTCCTTAAAATATAAGTACCGCAAAGAGATTGCTCAGAGTAGAAATGAGAAATTCCTTCTATAGCTTTATCATTCCAGAACATTATGAACATATTTCAAATACGTTTATGTAATGTTGGGCTATCAGAAGAGTTTCCTAATGTTCCTTGGTGGTAAGCTAATTTAATAAGCAGTACATTTCCCGAGACAGAATTCAGCTAATCTCTTAGAGCTGGATGGTGTCGTTTTTTGCATCTTTAATATAGCCTAATATAACATTTGGACTATGAGGTAGACTAATATTTAACATATCATTAATGAACTGGATTACAAAAAAGAGCCATTTTAAGATTAAAAGTCCACTGTGGATTTTATGATGGAATGAAGGTGTGGGAACAGTGTGTCGTTTAAGAACAGATTTATGGTCTTTCCACAAATAATGATTACCTTTTCTTTTTTTCTCCAAAACTGTAAGCATCTAGTCATGCAGGGTTGCCACTTTCTAGAAAGTCAGGGAAAGTTAGGGAAATGAAACTTGGTCAGGGAAAGTCAAGGAAATTGGTCTGAAAGAGTTTACTTGAATTGAAATTTGTATCTTGGTGTAATTTTTGGTGCAATTGCAAAACAGATGTTGCTGCAGTTAATGTTGAAAAAAGCTGATATTAAATCTCTTTGACAAATATTTTTGCAGTTGAGACTTGTGTTGTTGTAGAGTGGAACCCTTACCTTGCATTAATGCAATACGACCAGTGTTCCCTCTAAGCTGTGTTAGTGTGAGCTAGCTCTGGCTCACACATTCTTGCCTTAGCTCAGGAAGGATGGCTCCGGAGCAAACTAATTTATGCAGTAGCCAAATCGCTGGCTCACAACTTTCATGCCAGTAGCTCACGAAGTAGAATTTTTGCTCACACGACTCCACAGCTTAGAGGGAGCATTGACCTATTCCTTTTTTAACTTGTGGTTATATTTGAATGGTGGTCAGGGAAATTGACAAATGTTGGTCTGGGAAAGTCAGGGAAATGAAAAATAAAATTTTAGTGGCAACTCTGTCATGTATCTAAAACATTGTTGAGGTGCATGCCTGAATTTGACTTCTGAATGTCTTGATTTGTCTTACGACACTCTTGACATCTGGCTTAAGAAAATGATATGAGTCTAATAGAAATAAACTTAGGAAATTTGTAGCAGGTGGGCTTTGTCTTAGGAAATCAAATGATAGTCTGCTTTTTGTAAAGAAGTAAGAAAACCATGTCTGAGTAGCTGTGAGAAGCCATGGTAGCTTTAATCTGCCAGTTTAATTGAGCTGATACTCTGCTGCAGTTCTAATTTTCTTGCCAAGCACTCTTAGATCCTTTTTTTCTTGGCAGATCATAACCTCCATCCGTTGCCCCAAACTATATATAAAAATGTGCAGTAGACTGCTGTGAAATTCAACTGGAACAAATAGTTGAACCTAGCTTCATATGTGCTCTCTGTGCTCATTGAATTGGCACACTAATAGGGTAGCATGTTTTATTTATTTAGATTTTCACTCCACACATTGAGTGCGTCCCAAAAGACAGCCATCCAAAAGTACAACAATGAATGTAGGATAAGTATTATAGCTTTTTAGAAACACATAGTTGTAAGTATAAAATATTAAATACTAAAGAGCCTGAAGAAAAATTAAATATTCCTATGCTTTGAATCCATAAGTTCCCATTTGTAAAGAGCAGTCCTGCTCAGGTCAATGAACTGGGGGCTTACTCCCAGAAAAGTGTTTTTAGGATTGTACTCCCCATCTCAGATCCAAACTAGCACCATGCCTGCACCATTTACTATTTTTTCTTTTATCCTGTGATTCCTCCTAGAAACAGAGAAGGTGGGAGAGGGGAAATTGGTAAAAATCTTCCCTGTTCTTGCATTAACAGGAACTCGTGGAGAGTTGGGGGAGAAGGTTCTACCAATTCCCTTTTCCACTGTAGCACTCCATGCAAAATCCATCCTTCCTGAGAACCCCCTGACCCTCAGAGTCTTTTCAGGGAAATTTAGAAAGTAGCAAAGATCTTCTTTTTTTGCTGATTCCACTTGTTGTCTGCCTCCCAGCCAGTCTGTAGTCTTCTATGAAGGTAAGGTGTTGCACAGGTGTGGTTTTTCCGAGCTATTAATACATTTCAATTCTTGATGTAACAGGATTTTTTAAGGTTGAATGGCTAAGTAAAATGTTATATTAAACTATGTTAATATTTAAATAGCTTTTGTCTGGGAATTTTCCAGCTTAATAAGACTGTTTTTGCCTGTTTGTCTCACGTTAAGAAGAAAATATCATTCTGGTCAGGTGATCTAGATCCATGTTGCCGTGCACAAAACTATTTAGACGATGCATTCTGTTTCATAAGGTGTGCCTAATTTGACAACACATATCATCCTGAACAAGAGCGCCAGTTTTCCTCCACGATGGCAGATTCAGCAGCACTTCAGCTACTCTAGCTAAGAGAGGGTGCAAAATAACCAAGCAATAACCAGACACTTTTCCTGATGCTGTTTACTACATGTTCCTTATTATTATGTGATAAAAGCTCCCCAGTTTTATGTCAGAGTTACACATTGATTAAAAACAATCGGGAAACACCACTGTGTGGTGATCTTTGTTGCCCATTTCTTATGAAACAGCCCACATTTGAAATGATTGTACTCATGAGGAAGTACAGGCCCGACTGCAGAGCACTCGAACAATGACGTTTCATCCCTAGAGAATGTAATGGAAAAACTGGCCACCTGGTGTGGTTGCTCAGCTTCATTCTTCATTCTTTTTCTTTAGGGGAATTGTGGTTCAGTGGTAGAGCATCTGCTTTGTGTGCACACAGTCCCAGGTTTAACTTTAAACATCTCCCAGTTAAAAAGTAGTAAGGCATGTGAAAAACCCAGACATCTGCTGCCAGTCAGAGTAGGCCATACTGAGATTGTTAGAGCAGTGGTCTGACTGTATAAGGCAGCTTCATGTGTTCTTGTGGGTTCACAACAACTGAGAGTAATCTTCCCCCCCCTCTCTCAACAGAAACTCTCTTCAGGAAATGGCCGTTCCTAAATCTTTGCTGAATTCCCTGACCTTTATCTTTGGATCAGCAATTGGATTTTTCTTATGTTACATGTTGTTCAGCTTAATACTGGAGGAACAGGTTAAGACTGAGCCTCGTATTCTTTACAACAATCCCCATGTCCGTCACTCAGATGATGATGAAAGTGATCTATTGAATGGACAGATGAATTTCAATGCAGATGCTGGGCAACACAAAGGTATGTTCTGTTTGGAACAGCTTTTCACTTTCCTTCCCAATATGACTTCATTTTCTTTACTGACATGTCACTTGAGTATCTTTCCAGAGAATAGATTGTTTTATTACATTCAGACTCTTGGACTTCCTGGTTGTGGGGCTCGGGGCACAGGGTTGGATCCAGTAGCTCCCTTTGACTAAGTGAGCTTTCCTTTGGATAGGGTGTGTTGTTTGTGGGAAAGGGCCCATACTGTGGGAGACCATGGTTTTAAAGTTGTTATTAACACAGACCAGTGTCAGGTTCAGTTGACTGCAGTCCTTTTTGCTAAGAAGAAAACCATCATAATTTCATTTGAAATGCTAATTGTGCACTCCAAAATATGCTTCCCAGGCAGTAAGCCCCACTGCATATACTTGAGTAGGAATCTGGGTAGACCTGTTTAGGACTGCTTGCCAAGTTCCTGCCAGGATACAAACTGGTAGAGAAAAGTCATGATTTTAGCTTTTTTTGTTGGACATTGAAGGTGTGTCTTTATGGCTGGCATTGTTGCTGGCTGTGAATCCAACTATTTATTTATCTATATATCCAATACTGAAGTCGCCTCCTGGTGTGCGGATACCTAAATCCGCGCACCGGGGGCAGCTGGGGGGGAGGGCGGTCCCCAGGTGTGCACAAAAATCCTAAAACTGTAAAAAAAAATCGGGGGGATACTTAAATCCCCCCGAAACTCACAGAGCGTCCCCTGCGCATGCGCAGGGAATGCTCTGCGCACGCCGACGCTTGGGAGGGAAGACAGCAGCGAGGCGAGCGGGGGGGGCAAGAGCGGCGAAAGGCACCCCCCCCACGCCGCTTCTTCCGCCCACCCGTCCTCTTTGCTTGAGGACAATTTGGCTCTACAACCATAGGTAGGCGATTCCTGGACCAGAAGTTTATATCTGAGAACCACTTGGCATGTGATTGCACTTTTAAGAGGCCTCATTTGTACTTTTTACTCTGTGCCTGGTGGTTTTAATTTGAAACAACTTGCTTTTGGTCCTTATTGAATTTATACTTTGTATTTACATGATTTTACTATCTATATATCTAATTCTCAAGTCACCCCCTGGTGTGCAGATACTTAAATCTGCACATCGGGGGGACCTGGGGGGGAGGGAGATTTTTGTGCGCACGTGGGGCGGTCCCCAGGTGTGCACAAAAATCCTAAAACTGTAAAAAAAATCAGGGGGATACTTAAATCCCCCCGAAACTCACAGAGCGTCCCCTGCGCATGCGCAGGTAACGCTCTGCACAAGCCGCCGCCGCTGCTTGGGAGGGAAGACAGCAGCAAGGCGAAAGGTGAGTGGCGAGAAGGGGGGGCAAGAACGGCGAGGGCGGAGCGGCTCGCCGCTCCGCCCTCGCTTCGGAGCCAGGGGGGGCAGGAGAGAGAGCAGCGAGAGCCACTGTTTTACACCTCACCACCCAAGGTCACGGACACACAGGACGTGGGCTCCCCAGTCCATTTCCCAAGGCTCAGCTGTGGTTCCTTCTTCTCCTCTGCCGAACACTCTGGAGTTAATCACGGCGGCACTTCCCCCTGGCATGGAAGCAAACAGTGGTGGTGGTGGGAGGGGAGGTTTGCTTAACTCCAGAGCACTCGGGACAGGTAAGGGCCACTGCAGATCTGGGTTGGGCCTGGCTGGATGCACGGCCAAGGAAAGGATGACTTGGAACCGCCGTGGAAATCCCGCTAAAAGGCTTATCGGGTGCTCGGAGCCACTGTGACGGCAGCAGGAAGCAGAAGGTGGCAGAGCAGATTGGATGTTCAGACAAAAAAAAGAACCCCACACAAACAGCTCCGAAAAGCTTCCTGGGTCTGCAGTAGTGTCCTTGGGACGACATCCCCAAGGTTTTAGGACCTTCAGAAACAAAACTCCAGGGTTTTTTTTTCCTTTCAAAAGTTACGTCTGCCTGGAGTCTAACTGGCAGATTTCTCCCTCCCCTCCTCCCGCTACCCCCTCCCTTGCCCGAGATTGAGACGGTTCTAGCCGGGGCCGGAACCAGCAGCGGAGGGGGGGGGAGGCCAGAGGGGGGAGATGGAGTGGGGGGGTTGAGGATACGGCGGAGGAACCGGCAGGGTGGGGGGGGGGGTAACAACCC